TATCATGATATTTGTGAAGGTTTTCCCAGGTCCTTGGTCTCCCCGTGGACAACCTRTCAAATTACCTGGAGATATGTTCGATCTGTATGGTGTTAAATGCGACCTGCCTGATCCACCGACGAGACTTGGTGATTATGATCACGAGGGAACCCCTGCTGGGGGACTTATGATCTCAGTTTCTAACGATGGCTTCAATGCAAGTGTACAAAAGCTAAGACACGTGTCCTTCGATTCCAAGTGTATGAATTGCAGCAATTCAAGCATATGCGAACGTAAAGTGAGTACACACATACAGTACTTGTGTGATATTTTGCACCGTATGAACAGTTTGATTTTTTCCCGTTTCAGCCGAATTCCTGTCTGATCAGAGGACATTGTTTTGCTGCCAACGAACCCAACCCACGTGATTGGTGCCAGCAGTGCATACCCAGAGATGACCAGAATTCCTGGACTCGTAGGAAAAGTACATGCCTATGTCTTGTTTTATCATCACGACCAATGCACAAACAACCTTCATCACTGATTGTCATAACTTTTTTGTTGCTAACATTTTTACTTCAGTTAACCAGGCACCGAAGTTCACCACCAAGAAAATCATGTTTGCAGTTAAAGAAGAAGATCTCGTGATACAGCTGAAAGCAACAGACCCTGATAACCGTCCTGTAACACTCTCTACTCAGTTCTACAGCTACTGGCCACACATTCAGTACAGCTGGTCTACTGAGATGGAAGGTTATATCGAATGAGAAGTTCACCTTCAAAGTGACTGACGAGTGTGGAGCGTTTGATACAACAGACATGAGAGTGCGTATAGTACAATGCCCGTGTCTGAATGGTGGCCAATGCGTACCTCACCCCTACCATCCACGGGGATCTGGTTTGTATCAGTGTAAATGCGTGAATGAATTCAGTGGAGACACATGCGAGAGGTGCCCTGGACTAGTCTGTAAGTAAATTAAACAAGATTTCGCATCAAAGGCAAAAGCTACGTTGCACGGCAAGGTCACGGTACAAAAATGACGACATTTGTGGAACACATCGCGCGAAATCAAAACTTATTAGATGAATATATTTGTTTTTGTTCCACACATAAGTGTTTCAAACTTTCTATTACACGTTAATTTCTTGTTTATACTACTGAGCAACCAATACACCAAATCAAACATGAATCGAATCGCTTAATTTTACAGGTCCTCCTCGAAACCTCAGTGTAACAACTTTAAGTTCAACCAAAATCCAAGTTGAATGGGTCGAGCCACAAGACAAAGCATTGGACTATTATCTTTTAGAGGTGTGGTTAAAACTTTAAAAATTCTAAATATATAATTAAATAAAACTGCAGCTATATTAATATATATATAACATATGGTTTCTAATAAGTGAATCTATGTTCTGACTCTTTAGTATGGTCCAAAGGAACAAAAACCAAAAATGCAACGTATATCAAAGACTATGACTAGCTACACTCTAACCGAGTTGCGAAAGTTTACAGATTATCGAATTGGCGTGTCTGTGGTGAATGCTGATCGAACAAAGAAAGTTGAAGTCTCAGCTAAAACAGCTGAAGATGGTAAGTATATATTAGTTTAAGAAAGTTTTATGCAACTTGTATTGTAATGGTAGTCAGATGATGGACTTAATTAAATGAAATGCATGATTGTATATTATTGGTGGAAAATTAAAATCATGAAGAAAAATTGCAATGACCGTATCTATGTGATAGCACCGTATTCCTCCAAGCATGTTAAATCATTTTTCTGACTTGAATAGACATTAATTTTTAAATTTTTCCCTCCAGTACCCGATGCTCCTCCACTTATAACCGACATCACTCCTATTAGCCATGATACCATGAAGGTCACATGGTCACCAATAGCCGAGGACAAACGCAACGGTATCATCAAAGGTTACAGAATCTACTACAAAGCAGGATTACCAGGCGGCAACTGGGGAAAGTGGAAGTCGCTTACTATAAGGGAAAAAGATGCTAAAAGTGCTATCGTTTCAAGGCTGAAGCCGGCTACTTCGTATTGCTTCAAGATGTCTGCTTTTACGAGAAAAGGACAGTATCGTCTCTGGATGACTTCGGAATGTTGGATGAAAAAAAGTAAGTGAATAGATTATGAATGAACTTATCATGTTATCCTTAAGGTTCCTACACACGATGCAACTGTTGTGTGCAATTAACGTTGAAAGTTGGCGAAGAAGAAGGAAGGTATGTACGTATCCACTTTTTCTTCACTACAAAAAAATTTATTGACACAGATTACGCAGAACGTATCTGGCGATATCGCGAAAGTCACCAGCATTGCATTTGCTATGAACATCACGCCATTGTCAGTAAAGTTGTTGACATGTACCTTCACACGATAAAATTTGTTGCGCATAACATTGCGGAAGTAGATCTCGATTCCAACGCTGCGGGCAACGTTGCGTAATATATTTGCACCAACCATGTGTTCAGTTGTGCCTTCATAGTGTAATTTACGATTAAAAGTGGTTGCACATGGTTAGAACACAATGTGCATTATATATAACGATAGAAGTCCTGATTATTATATTGTGATGGTCTGCAAATTACTTTGTAACATTTACTTTGTTCTTGTTTCACAGCGGCTTTATACATGGAGTGAAGAACGAACCCACAATGAAACGAAAGACCCTAAATGTGTGTGTGTATGAATGTATGTTTGATTTTCAACCAAAAGTTAGCCAAATATCTAGTATTAATGCTTACAATGTACACTATGATTTATATTTCACCGAAAACATTGTATTTAACATTAACCTTTACTAAAGTGTGTTTTTTAAATTACCCACAATGCACCCGATATATCGATATTCATTTTATTTACAGAATTTCTGCAAAGCGCTATATATAGATATATACACACACATTTTGAGATTTGGCATATACTGATAGCATATCTAGAGTATTCCCATCCAACACTTCAGTACCGTATGATCTTTTTGTTTTCAAAATCTTCATGACGTTATATTCGGCACCCACCTTCCCCCCCCCCCCCCCCCCCCCCCCCTGTCCCTTTCGATTTGTATTCTTATCAAAACATACTCACCATGCAGCCAGTAGAATAGAACTGATGGATCAGTAGAAAAGTGAGCTGCAATAAAACGGGAACTACCTTGGCGACAGACTTGCGCTAAGCCAAGGCTTGCTGACTAACTGTCCATGGAACCATCTGTGCAATAACACAAAGTACCAGACTATTAACAAAAAATGTGATGTGATAAAGAAATAGGAGACGCGCGCGCGTGCTGTGTGCAGTCATAAAGCAAGCGGGGGTTGGCAGAACACGAGAGAAGTGTTAGGAAAAGTACGACGTGTAGCGTATTGCTTCTCGACACTTTTCGAGTGTTCTACCGATCCCCAAGTGCTTTATAACTCCACATAGCACAACAAGCAAGTTTATTTCTTTTATGAAATACAAATTACAATAACCGTTATTTTAGATAGAAATGACACTACTAAAAGTGCGCGCTCGTGCTGCATGTGCTCTCTTAAAGCACGCGCTCCCAACCAATCCGAGAACGCGAGATTCATAACAGTTTTTTTTAATACTTTTGCGAGAAAATTCCATGCTATACAGGTTTTATTGTTTGTCTCGTTGTTTCTTAACCAAATATTTTATTTTGTTAATTAATATTTGGTATTGTTTAAAAAATATTAAAATCAATTTATATTTTTTAGTTTATATTGCATGTACTCGTAATAATAGTCGAAACTCGTATTTTATTTTGTACCTTGCGTTCTTATTTAATTATAGGTAATGTGCGATTTACTTTCATTATCATTATCATTATGTAACATCAACATTCGATTGGTATCATTGGTTCTGATAATAATAATAATTAATAAACTTTATTAATGTCTCAAATCTTATAGCTTGGTACAATTGCTTTGCGCTAATCGGGGAGACCTAACGACTAAGCTAATTCGCAGCATTGTGAAAAATCACTCCCCCCCATCCCCCTCTGGTGAAAGATAAAAACAAAAACAACAACGAAAAACAACAACAACAAAGCACACAGACACACAAAGCAACCAAATTTGATTGAAATTTAAAGTAGTGAATGTCCCTTCTCTATTGTAAATTGAAGCACGGTTTGGATGTAAGATGTGTGTGCGTGTTTTGTGCTGGGCCTATGGGCACAGTACATTTGTTTTTGGTGAGTTAGGTATGATCGGAATTTAGTGTTACGAACATGAGACCTATATCGAAGATGCCATTGGTGGACCTCGTCATGATTGACATTGGTGAAACACGAGGTGAAAATGCACGTCGAGGGCATCAGATCGGGACACGGAGGAGTTGAAAGAGATTGAACATATGTGGTTTTCGTGGTAAGAGTGCCTTAATCCAACTTACTTTAAACTTAATTTGGTAGTATTCTAAGCAGATAATTAGAAACTGGAGCTGAATTAAAAACTTAAAATGCGATTTTTGTTTTTTTGATACAACTCGAATTAGTTACATAAACAAAAGATTATAAATGGACAGGCCATTAATTTCTACTACGTCATTGATGTAAAATAGTAGATTTTTGTTTTGGTTAGCTAAACGCCAGGGGTGGGGGTACTCCGCCAGAATTTGGGTAGGGGTGTTCCGCTGGGATTCTGAAAGGGGCACCCTGTTTATGACAAAAAAACCCAAATTTGTAGACCCTGTTTATGACAAAAGATATAATTAATTGCGCACTGAGTTCCCGTTTCAATTATCATGTCATCTCGCGTATCGTTTTTTTACGACCATACAAATAACCAGTTTCGGTCAATACGAAAGTAGAAACCCTGAATATGACAGGAAACTCAGGAAGAACTTGGAACTTGAGTGAAATTGCATACCCTGTTTATGACAAGAAGCTCGAAAACCCATACCCTGTTCAGCGGATCATCCCCGTATAGTCCATATAT